CTGTAGTCGGGTTTTGGGCTTTTGGCAAGTAGCCAGCGCAGGCCTCTATTAGAAGGTCTTGGCTTAGTACAGCAGCAGCGAAAACCTTCCTTCTGACTCCCCTTCGACCTCAGGGCATGTCTCATTATCAGATTAAAGTGAGTGGAGGATGCAGTGTCTACTGAGCCTGCCACTCTAGCTGAAATGATTTTCCTAAGGCCAGATAAGGTGTTCAGTGACTTGCCAGAGGATGGGAGATAAAGAGATAAGGTTTGTTTGGCAAAACCTGCTCGTGAATAAATCCTGGGGAAAACGGCACTAAACTGTGACGTCACAGCCGTTAGCTACTTTTAAGTTAATTAAGAGGAGGACATGCTAAGTTCCTTCTGCCATCATAAATCCATGGTTGTGTGTGTCCCATCGCGGGAAGACTCCTTCGGCGCTCGCCCAGCGGCCGAGGCCCGCAGCACAAGCGATTGCTTTGACGTTCCACCTGCCTCCCTGGCTGCCAACCACCGGGGTCACCCGGAGGTAACAGCAGGGCAGGATGCCTCTCGAGCCGGCCTGCCGCAGCGGGGATTAACCGCCTCGCTGGGCTGCTGCCCTCGACAATTTTCTGGTCAGTAACTTTTTGAAAGGAGAGCGTGTCTAGTGCGGTAGGGAGGGGCAGGCAGGAGAGGAGGAGGAGGAGATGAAGGGGGAGAAGAAATGGTGGCTGGATTCTTTCCAGGACGGAAAACTGTCTGTCCAAGAACTTCTCCAACACATAGATTAAATATTCCTCCCTCCACCATTACATAACGGTGAATGGGTGGCTGTGCAGCCTCCTGAAAGGCTGTGTAATAAGCAACGCTGTCTCTTCTCTCTTTCATTCCTCTGCGTTTTCCTCTGTCTCAGACAGGAATTTCTGGGACCGTAAGAGTCATTCTCTCCAGGACTTAAGTCTCCAGTTGGGACATAGTTACTGCCAATTTAGAATTAAATTTAAAAGGGAAAGGGGACGCCCTTGGACCCGTGTCTATACATTGAAAATTCTGCCTCCTAATAAAATGGGCCATTTCCTAAACTCCAGGTCTAGACGTCTCACAAATGCAGAGCGCTCAAATCCTGACTAGGGCAGGATAAAGCTGGATAATGCTTCTCTTGATGTTGATTGAGCAAAGGATACAATGAGAGTTACTTACGTCCTTACACGTAACGGGAAGCGAAGTGCCAATCGCACAGCTTTAGGCTGGCTGGAGCTCAGAGGGCATCAGAAAAAAGCAGGCCCACCCCCACAGCGCTTCATCTGTTCAACTGTGAGCAAGCCCTTTGTTCAGGAGCATTCAGAACATGCATGATTATCACTGACTCTTAAGCTCTCTGGTTCAGTGCTGTATCTGCTTTAGCGAGAACATTGCAGAATAACACAACTTTTGAGTGCCGAACAGCAAATTGTCAAATTGCAGATTCTGCAGGAGGAGGTGAATTCAAGAGCGTGGAGGACTTACAAGCAGGTTGGTAGGCGATCTCCTCAGGAGGCAATAGAGTTGAATAAGGACCTAGAAAAACAGTGGTGAAACCATTGCAAGCAAGAAGAGAAGAGACAATTATTGCCTACAGTGAAACACCAGCCAAAGCCTTCTGCTGAGGAGCAGCAGAGCCCTCAAATGTGAGGCTAAAGCAGCAACTAAAAGTCTCATCCCTTCGTAGGACTTGATATCCTAGGAGGCCAGAGTGAAGTCGATGCCAGTTTAAACTTTTGACTAGATGTAAGAGAGAAAGTGAAAGCCTCATATGATCTTATAGGAGCATTCAAGCTTGAATTTGGACCAGAAGCGTGGTGCATTGAGTTTTGAGTTTATCCATCTGTAAAAAGTAGCAAAAATGACAGCAGGAAACCTGCCTTCCCACTGCGTTGTTAGGGAACTCTCACCTCTCACAAAAGAATGGTCTTTTATTTACTGCTTTTCTCTTTAACGCAGGCTGAGGCCTTCACCTGATTGTGAACAGTATCAGGGACTTGAAAACGTCTCATGTTAAGAATCAGTACTAAAGTTCATGCTGTTAGAAGGATAGTCAGCAAATTCCGTCTTCCCTGGATGGCCCAGGTTTTATGGGGTCATCTTGCAAGATTGCCTATAGGATATTAAAGGTCACGAAATAACTATTGGGGCATAAAAAATATTATGTCCAAGAGTTGCGTCACGGTCAGATGCGTCAATGGCAGCTCTTGAGAACAGGAGGCTGTGTGGATGTTTGAAACAGATGAAAGTGAAGACTGAGGGCTCGACTTTTTATTTTGCAAAAGCAGCATGAAACCCTGGGGTGCTAGGTATGAGAGGTCAATTTCTTGCCTTATTTACTCAACCTTTGTCTGATGCCTTATTTCTCTTTCTCTCCTCTTCCTCTATCTCCCATCACTCTTCAACTTACCAGTTAATTTTTCAGCGTTTACACTCGACTGAGCCAACCCTACTGAGAGGCTAAAGTCCACATTGGCACAGACTCACGACTCTGTGGGCATCAAGCTGGCTGCTTACATTGGCAGTTTGTAAGGTTTTTTCCTCCCCTTTCCACAGAGATGTAGGTTGTGAAATGTGTGTACACTTGCAATTGAACAATATTTTGTCAATATTTCCTCAAAGCTTGTGAAATTTCTCAAATGTTTTTGATTTCCCTTCAAGCCTGCGGTGTAGGCATAAGAAATATCACCCAGTCTAGCTCTGAGTTCAAGAGCATGTAAATAAACTTCAGCTTTGCTAGCTTTGTGTAGATGCCAAAGCCTGGTAGCCAAGGATGGCCGTATGCTGAGGCTTTCAAAGACAGGCCAATGGACAAACCATTTTTTTAGCCATAATCCTTTCTTATAGTCTTCAATTCTGGAAACTGCTTTTTCCTTGAAAACAACGCCCTCTGAGATAAGATTACCAGCAAAATGGCTCTGACATAATTATATGTGCTCTGAAATTTCTGGTTAACCAACTCATTCTTCCTTCACGGTGTAAATTCGGCTTTTTATATTCCTTTCGTCCAAAGCGCTGTCCATGTGCCTGTCTTTTACACTTTTCCTGTATATATCTCAAGGCAATAGATAGGCTCAAACTTTCTTCTTTGAACAAGCTTTGCAATAAAGTTACTTAGAGAAGAGGTTCAATTGCTGTGTCTGCTGGCTATTCCTTTAGAACGAATAAGCGTTCATAACTTTAGCTAACAGGAAATCCAACACGTTATTTCTCTGTGAATCATATTAAAAATGTTCAGCAGCCCTCTTGTGCCTTTCAGAATATAAGTCTGCCTTTGTGTGTGTATGAGTGTTTATGTTAATAGGTGTGCCGATGATTTATAGATGGGATTAATTTTGAATTTAACTTACTTAGGAAATGGATTGAGGACCCAGCTACTTCTGTGTTTCAGCCTTGCTTAGTTGTTCTGAAAGAGCTCTTTGACCTTTCCAGAGGTTTAGTACTGGTTATGAGGTTAAGTGTGCTTATTTCTAACCATAAAAAATCAGGATAGCAGTCAGATCCAGACTCAGGAGCCAGTGGTATGGGAAGCAATTGTAATCCTGGATCACAGTTGATAGGGCCGCTGCTTGGAAATAGTGCCACTCTGAGGGCAGCAAAGTCTTTCCATTTCCAAGGCCTGTTTTTCCAGTACCCTGAATAGGATAAACCTGCATTTGACTATGTGAATTTCATTTATTTTTTTAGTCCTAAATGGTAATTTTGCATTATAAATGCAACCATCTGCTGTAGAAAAAGCTATGTTGTTTTAAATTGCAATTGTGAGCAGAAGCACCCTTTAGTTCTTTCTCTTTTGGATCTTGCTATTTGACTCACAGAGCAGTCAGCTGATTTCAGTAACATACTCCATTCAGTAATTTATGCTGTGCAGAATGACAAGTGTCCAGCCATTCATATCATGATAAATGATTAGACAACTGTTACCAGTTTGAAAAGCAAAAATAATAGATCGATTCATGAATATAGTTGTCTTTGGTAATGGAGAGATGAAATTATATTCTCTTCCAGTAGCTTTAAAAGAGGTAGAAAATAGTGTTAGGTATACCGGGAAGAAATTATTTTGGTTAACTCTCTTTAGCTGTGGATTAATGTTCCAAAGATAGTGGTGGAAGCACCATTTCTTATTTGAGACAATTAAAACTAGCCTTATTGTCTCTCTAGGAAAGATAATCCTGGGTAAAGTGTCACAGTGAAAGTTAATGAACCTAGTAACATTTTGGGTTATTTCTTTCTTTTTTTTTTTCCCATGATGGTGTAGAAACACAGACAGGGTTGCACTGGCTAAGTCTTTGTTTTATATCAAATCCGTGGTATGCAGTTTGAATGTTTTGTTTTCATGGATATTAAGAATTATTCTTTGTATAAGAAGTATTATATCATTTTTAACTATATTTGTTAACTGGAAGTGACAAATAAAATCTTTCATGTATTAGTTGCAAAATGAATTAATGCTAGAAGTTTCTCTCTTCAAATGTCTGGATTAGGATGAACCTCTTGCTCATTGCTGGCCTTCAAACAATCAGCATTGCAAATTGTTACCTTTGATATCCTGAAGAAATATGTTTTACTGTAGAGGAGATACTATCTCCAAATGTAGAACAAGAAGTAGATAACATGCCAGGTATACAGGAAGGTCTGTGATTTTAGAATTAAAAGTTATCTTTCTTTGTGTGTGTATAGCAAAAGTCATGGTACAGAAAATTTGCCAAGTGCCTTGTGTTTTCGTCCTGTTAGGCTAAAGATCTGATTTTTCGATTTCACTCTTGTGTTGCTTGTAAAGAACAGGCCTTCACCTGTAAATAGAATTTCGGCAGCGGGCTTCAGCTACCACCACCATGCTAGAGTCCCATCTCCCATACCTCATTTATAATCATTGTTTAAAAATCATTGCTAGTCTTAAATGAAACGGTGCAGGACAGGAGAGCTGTCAGATTGTTCAAGTTAGAAACATGTTTTTTAATTATTTTAGATTTGAAGCAGAAGCAGTTTGACCCTAACAAATGTTTCTTGCTGCAGATCATCCTGTGGGGTCGAACTGAGAAATGCCTGAAGGAGACCACAGAGGAAATCAGGATGATGGGGACAGAGTGCCATTATTTCATTTGTGATGTAGGAAACCGAGAGGAGGTCTATCAGCAAGCCAAAGCTGTGCGGGAAAAGGTTGGTGTCTGTGGAAACACTGTTTGTGGGCAGAATTTTAGTAATTCACTCACCTTTGATGGGGGAAAAAATCCACTGGCAAATTGAGAAAAAACAAAGGTGCACATTTCTCTATACGACATAGTCAAAAGGTTCTGTCCCATTGCATTTATTGCCACAGGGTAAACATTTTCACCCATACAAAGAACATATGAATGATAACTAATCGAATGTGTTCATCTATATGTATCAGTAGGTGAATACGTGTCCTAGGCAAAAGTAGCAGGGAACTTGTCTTCTCAATTCTTACATTAATTCCAATGTTCTTATAATTCGTAGGTGAGCTTGAACAGAGCAGAGTTGAGTAACTAAGAAAGACTGTGTTCAAGATGAATCCAACTTATGTTGTACAAAGACCTAGTTATTGGTTTAAGCGATCCAGAAGGATAACAAAGCCCATCAGCAAAAATGCCGAAAGCTGTAAAAATAGTAATATGTTCAGCCACTACTAGGCGGCTAATAGTGACTCCTGGTTTGTGAGGAGAGATATTAGTTGTGACAAGTCATTTGCGTTTTTGCAGGTGGGTGATATCACTATCCTCGTGAACAATGCTGCTGTGGTCCATGGTAAGAGCCTGATGGACAGCGATGATGATGCACTGCTCAAATCACAACATATAAACACCCTGGGACAGTTCTGGGTAAGATAAGCTCTTGTATCTCGTGTATTCAGACTTGGGAATGAGAGGGACGGATTACAGCCGGTAAACGTTTTTGGCTGCTGCTAGGCCTTTCTAAATGGTTCTTGGTAAGATGAGTCTGACACAAAAGAGAGACAGGAAAAACAACGTGAGGGGCAAAGGCCAGAGGAGAGAAGTCTGAGGAAAATTAAATTTGACAGACTCTCTCAAATATCATATTAAAAGCTTCCAGGAATTGCACAGTATTTGATGCTCTTGCATCCCCATTCTGTGATTTCCAGTAAAACATCTGATTTCTTTTGAGAAAGGCCAAGCTCACGGAGGCGAGTTTTCTGCTCAGTGTTGCGGTGGAACTTGATAGAAAGATAGATAAAAGAATACTTTATCACAGAATCGCAGAATCACAGAATGGTTGAGGTTGGAAGGGACCTCTGGAGATCATCTAGTCCAACCTCCCTGCTCAAGCAGGGTCCTCTAGAGCATATTTCCCAGGACCACATCCAGACGAATTTTGAATATCTCCAGCGAAGGAGACTCCACTACCTCACTGGGCAACCTGTTCCAATGCTCTGTCACCCTCACAGTAAAGAGGGTATATCTTATCCTGTATAAGAACTTCTTAAACATACAGAGCGTTCTGTTCATGGCCTTTATCTGTGGGCACTGCTTGCTTGTACGCTAGGAAAGATTTTGCTTTGTTTATACACAAACTTTGTTTAGAAGGTTTCAAAGAGTGACATGTCAACAAAGCATTCTCCTACTCCTTTCCTAGCTTAATGGACAGCGGGGTTTGGCTTGTTGTCTGTGTCACCTTATTTTTCAGTCACTACTAGCTTTGTCATATCTCTGCTGAGCAAGACTTTTTGTTTTTTCTCTGTTGTTCTTCAGCATCCCTGCCAAGGATGCTGGAGTTGCAGAATGGACACATTGTTTGCTTGAACTCTGTCCTGGCCTTGTCAGCCATCCCTGGTGCCATTGACTATTGCACCTCCAAAGCCTCTTCCTTTGCCTTTATGGAGAGCCTGACCTTGGGGTTGCTAGACTGTCCTGGAGTGAACGCCACAACAGTCCTGCCCTTCCACACAAGCACAGAGATGTTTCAGGGCATGAGAATCAGGTCAGTCCAGGGGAGCTAGAATAAAACATCTCATTTTAAATGAATCATCAGAATACACTCCTAATTAATGCTTCATTTAGTTGAGAGAATTTGATGTCTCATTTGGCTGCCTGGGAACAGAGGGTCACCCTAGGCCGCCTGGGACTCATCAGACTGGTTCCTTCAGTTTGCTAGCACATTCGTACAAACTGCCTGTACTGCATCTTTGAGGCTTTTTTGCTTCTACAGAGAAAACTGAACGCTATTTTTCAGAGAGTGTATTTGGGCCATTTGCAGCCACCAGAGAGGGAGAGGAAGCAATCTGAAAACTGAGATCATTCAGAGGGGAGCAGCCTACAAATTACTAGTGAATTAACCGTACAAATTCCTTCCTTATTCATTTAAATACTTAATTCTTTCCCACTGAAGGGAGTGACAGCCACAGACCGAAGTAAGGCTATCACTACACCTCCTTGTTGCCTCTAAGAGAACAGACTAAATTCAAGAACTAATGGTTAACCAAATTAATCTTTTACAATGGACAAAATGACCCGTTAGTATAGTTTGTGCTCCTTTAGCGAGAGAGAGAAAATACACAATGTCATTCCATTGTTGGAGCCAGGAAAAGCCTTATTCCTGCTATCAAAAGCAAAGAGCGAAGATCACCTGTGAGAGTCTGAATCTAGTAGAGAGCAAACAAGAGGAAGAAGAACATTGACACTGAAAAGACAGGGTTGTGATGTTAGTTTGCAAACTGCTTAAGAAAATCCCTGAAGCGAGATCCTGAATAGGTTCTGCCACTTCCTTCTAAAGGCTGCAACATGTTCACTCCTTAACTGTTTAGCCAGTCTAGTAGTACTAGTTGGAAGACAGGGTTATAGGACCTGGGCTTCATTCTCGTTCTCTGTTCCTTTCAGCCAGCTTGGGGTATGTTTCAATGCCACTGACCAATGATAACTTAGATGGCATCAGGACTTAAACGGGTATCTTAAACAAGGAGCTTGGTTAACAAATAATTTTTTTTTTTTTAACTTTATTTATTCAGGTTCCCTAATCTTTTTCCTCCTCTCAAGCCAGAGACTGTGGCTAGGAGGACAGTGGAAGCTGTTCAGATGAACCAAGCCTTCCTCCTCCTTCCATGGACAATGCGTGTTCTCGTCATCCTAAAAAGGTAAGTATTTCCGTTGCCAGCTATAGCCTAGACTGGCTAGGCAAGCCTTGCCTATAGAATAGGCAAGACTGGCTTACAATCCTGCTATCTGTCCACCGAGGTGAACTTCAGTTTGACTGTTAGCTGATACCCTAGATCAGATCAGGCTGGTTCATGCCCTTCCACGAAGAACAGACATAGGAGCAAAGGGGAGAAAATTTCTAAAGTTCCCTTTGTTAGATTCTTTTCCCCTGGGTTTGTCCCCTTTACGAAAGCAGATTCACTCCCAAAATTCAGATTCATGAGGTCTGAACTGCTGTTTGTATCTGGGAAATTTCTTAACTGTTAATATATGCATCTAGCTAATTTTCATTCAGTAAGCCCCTCTTTGGACTGCAGCCTTTATTTTGTAAAGGCTTTCTATATATAAAGTATGCACATCAACACCTGTATTTGGAGAACATTGTTTGTTTTAAAGCCATGAAACCATCAGAATAATTTGTGTGTGTGATTATTTTCTGCTTTAGCGGGGAATTACTCTGATCGGGACTTTTAAAGTGCTTAAGGCAAGCAAGTCATAATTTTATTTCCTGAAATAACTGAAGAAAGGACCTTTTAAATTGCGTCTTCACGAGAGTTTGCACCAAAACCTTTGGAAAACCTATTTCAGTCAGGAACTAGAACAAGGCCATGAGATTTCTTTGAACAATAATTACAATACTGTGTGTCAGACGAGACAAAACAATTTGTAATAAAGTTTAGCTCTGAATGCAAAATTTGGGATAGTCTCAAAAGTTCTCAGAAATTTTGCAGACTATAAAAGGGTAGCTCTCCTGCTCGTTAATTATGAGAATCAATCATTTATTTTCCACTGCAGCAGCTGACAGGAAATTAGGTATATGTCCATACGTTATCATAAGGAAGCCCCATGCCTAGGACACATAGATAGCAAGTTAACCATACAAGTCAGTGTAAATTTGTGTATTTCAAAGCACAAGGTTCTGTGCTGCACTGGGGAGAAACAAAAGATGATAGTGTCTTTGAAGTTCCAGGCTTTACAGACCTTTGTTGATAAATGTTTCCATTTAGGAAGAGTGAAATGACACAACTTTCTTCCTTTGGGCTCTGAGAGATACTGACCAATGTTTTGACTGCGTGCTTTCACGAGCTACCTGATCACGCGGGTGTGTGTGCATACATATGTGTGTACGCACATCCAGACTTACTCGTTCTCTCGTTCGAAGAGATTCAAAGGTTTTGTCCTGTCTGCTTATTTTCTTTCTGCTTTTCCTACAGCATTCTCCCTCAGTCAGCACTTGAAGAAATCCACAAGTTTTCTGGAAGCTACACCTGCATGAACACTTTTAAAGGACGAACATAGACCCGGTGGTGCAAAGACGATTCCTCAGTGAAGGCAACACAAGCATGAGAATCCTGTCAAGACTGTGAATCAGCCGTCTTGGCTTTTAGCCTGCCCACGTGACTTGTGCTGCTCTAAGGCAACACATTTCTTGCAGGTCATAACCATAGTAACATGACCTTTGCACAGGACTGAATGACTAGACTATGGACCCTTGGAAAGAAAAACAAAAAGTGTGAAATGTTCCTATGATGTTTAATTCTTTAGAGTACATTGTTAAATCTACTCACAGTTTTAAGATGTAATTTTTGTTTATAAAATATCTGTAGGCTGTTTCAGCTGAGGGGCAGCATATCACACACTTTACCCATCTCTTCAGAGGAACTACAATTGCAAACCGATCCTGATTTCGTTCCAGCTTTTTTAATGGGAAAAATTACTTTGAAGAACTACAAATTATGGATGTTTAGTGGAAGCTTCCTTCCCTTTCTTCACTGACTGGTCATGCTTTACATCCGCGGATGAAGCTGTTCCCAACTCATGTCATAGAGAAGGAGGAGCAAACTGCTGTTTTCTTTATTAAAGGCGACCCAGGCCTGTGTGGAAGGATAGTGCTGGGCCCAGGATTGCTGACTGCACCTGTAAAGGCCAGAGGGGGATGCTCAGTCAGAAGAGCAGGCAGTTTGAATCATGGAAGATTCCTTCTGGCACTGAACTCATATATGAAATTTAATTGTCTTTCTGAATATTTTTGTTCATTTATGATGAAATATATATATATATATATTTTTTTTTTTTTTTAGCATTAATCCCTAGATTGCCACGCGTGTAGGCAGCATCAGATTGGGGATGAACTAAATCTAGAGCCTGCTTTTACAAACACACATTCACTGATGTAATCCATACAGAGGAAAATCCATTGTATCAGTCTGCACAGTGAAATAAGTGGAATAATGCTCTAAACACAGAAAAGACAGCACTCTAGCACTCATGAAATGTGAAGTTTGCAAGCACAGTTAGCAAAGACCTGATTAAATGCACATTGAATTCAACTGGGAATATACCCATTGTTTTTTAGGGGCATCAAATCAGGCACTGATCAGCCAAAAGTGATAAATACTGCTTGGACTGAAATGCCAGAAGCAGCGAGACGTTATTTATTTTTGTAATGATATACTCTCCTTGACAGCCTAGTAGGAGCAACGCTGCATTCCTGTGCCAGATGCAGTGTGCAGCACTAGGCATAGCAATGTAGTTGTAACATTATTGGAACGCTACTAAAAGAGGAATTAATATAATTGAGATACGGGGAAGTAGCAAGTCTGATTGGAGAACATCCCAATGAAGCACCTCAAGGAAAGCCACATGGTTAAAGTAAAGGATTGAAGTTAGAGTTCCTGACTTGCATTTTGAGCTTTTTCATAGATGTCCTGTGTGACCCTGGGCAAGTCTCAAAGTGCACCCTGACCTGCAAAGCCGATATTTCTAGTGTTTCCCTACCTCAAAAGTTGTAAGTCTGACTACCTTAATGTTTGCCAAATGATCAGTAAATTCAAATGGAACATGCTATAGAAAGTAAAAACTGTATTTGTTTATAAACCAAAAGGTTTTATGCTAAAATAGAGAAGAGAAAAAAACCCATAATCTAAAATATATCATTTCCTAGAAGAGATTTGAGTTCTAGGAGAAAAGCTGCGAGCTACATTTGAGATACTACTTTGGTTCTGCCATATAGAATGGGAACCAGCTACTTAGATGCAATGATGTGCATGTTAAAATCTGAAGGTCTGATCCTTGCTGCAAATCGGTAGATAGCTCTTCTTGGACAGTTCATGAAGCAGACACTGCAAAGGGTGCCATTGATGCAAGCCCCTCTGCCTGCATGGATATTTTGAGGAGCTCTCCTATCTGGGTCAGTGCTTTCCTTCTGAGTGCAGTAACATACATACAAGCTTTAGTACTGTGCCAGCTTTGAAAAGGTTTCTTACAATGGAGTTTTGTTTTGAATTCCTAGATGTCTGAGACTCTCTGGAGAGGATGAAAAGAAACTTTGATCTCTGTGATTTTGACGCCCACCCTAATAGATGCTTTCAGCTTTATTTTTTGTCTGTTTTTTGAGAAGAAAACTAGTTCACTGAAAACACAACTGCAGTGAGGGGAGAGCCCTTCCAGGATCTGCCAGGAATACTAAAGGTACCATAAATATCAAGAGCCACTTGGGAAGGGATGATTAGACCTACCTCCCCTCATGCACTCTAAGCCTTTCTATTTTCTCATTAACTACAGTCAGGCATGCCAGACTTGTAGACGCAAAAGCAAACAGAATTGGTGAAAGATGGAACCCCACGGTGTCCCTCTTAAATCAAACCTTTATGTTGCTATTCCATTCATTAATGACATCCTAAGGCAATGCAGAGGTAAAAACCAATGCACACAGTGAAACCAGCTCCTCACTAATCCCCATATGCTGTTCCTTAGATGAATCTACTGTTTTCCTGAACTGCATAAAAGATGCTCCCTATCTGCAGAGGTTGTCTTACATACTAAGTGCTGTTGATTTCTTTCTGATTAATGCAGACGAGTCAGAACTTAGCTGAGACTCCGAGGACCGTCTCACCCCCCCTCATA